TTACCGCAGTCATGGTTTCCACACATGACTTCAGAGTATACTGATTGGCCTCCATATCCGACTGCACTGCCATTCTTTGCTCCACCGACCGCATCGGAAAGTTCAACGGAGCAAACTCCGGGGCGCTTGGTTGAGTTTCCAGTGCCACCGCACCAGTTCTCTCTCTTGTTGACTCGTTGAGGTCGGGAAAGAGAGTGAGCAGACTCCGGGAAGATGAAGCCATTTTCTGGGCCACAGAGTGTTACAGAGTATCTCTCTCAGAAATCTCTCTCAGACAACAGAGTATTACAGAATATCTCTCTCAGAAATCTCTCTCAGAATCTCTCGCAAGTTTTTTTGTCTCCGCCTCTGCCTCAGCCTTAGCCTCCGCTTATAAAGACCATGACGACAGGGTAGCCACGCGTATCGCGCGCCACTTGACGCAAACGACAAACGGGCACGCCAACCAAGACACTCACGTGCCTCGCCATCATGTTCGGCACACTTTTTGATAAATTGGGCACGCCTTTTGATGGCACGCCTTTTGAAAAATTGAGCGCACCTTTTGAGGATGCGATTTTTTAAGGGGTCCGACAAGACTCTGTAAACTGTCTCGACATTGATTCCGGTTAGCTCCTTCATGGGTCCGACAAGACTCTGTAAACTGTCCCGACATTGATTCCGGTTAGCTCCTTCATGGGGCCGACAAGACTCTGTAAACTGTCCCAACATTGATTCCAGTTAACTCCTTCATGAGTCCGACAAGACTCTGTAAACTGTCCCGACATTGATTCCGGTTAGCTCCTTCATGGGGCCGACAAGACTCTGTAAACTGTCCCGACATTGATTCCGGTTAGCTCCTTCATGGGGCCGACAAGACTCTGTAAACTGTCCCGACATTGATTCCGGTTAGCTCCTTCATGGGGCCGACAAGACTCTGTAAACTGTCCCGACATTGATTCCGGTTAGCTCCTTCATGGGGCCGACAAGACTCTGTAAACTATCCCGACAGTGATTCCGGTTAGCTCCTTTATGGGTCCGACAAGACTCTGTAAACTGTCCCGACAGTGATTCCGGTTAGCTCCTTTATGGGTCCGACAAGATTTTTTTATTTTTATGTATTTTCTTGTTTTGTTCCTCTCTCCAAACTCAAGTTGGTTAGTTTCTATCCTCCTTGAGTTTGCGGGGGGCTGTTAAAATTTACCTACACCTACCACCACCTACTACCACACGTACTACACCTACCACCAATTTACCCTCACCTACTCCTCACCTACTACCCAAATCCTCTTCTATATAATAGGAATCCTTGTAATATCAATAACATAACATCAGAATACATCAATCAATAATACATAAATTCTTACAATAATTATCTATAATATTTTCTTACTTATCTTCTACAATGGCTACAGCCTACATGTTTGCCTCTTTTTTTTGATAAATATGGCTACATGTTTGCCTTTATCTAGTATTATATACCAGATTTCGTTTATAATTTCTAATTGATTGTTTTTAAGTTTTTCTCTAAGTTCTTTTTATAACTTAATTAATGTATTATTTTGTTCTATTATTATTTGTAGCAAAATGTTATTATTTAAATTATTTAATTCTACTTTTTCAGTATATTTAATACTCGTATAATTTTATTGGCAAAATTGAGAAACCAAATTCTAATACTAATTTAACACACAACGAAATAAACACTTAAGACAATAAAAATTTAAGATTTTTTTGTAATAAAATCTTAATTAAGTAGGGTCTTTTACTAATTTATAATACTTATGGGCATATATTCTATTTTTGTAATCTTTTGGCCAAGTTTGGGTAGTTTAAAAAAAGCCAAAAAGTCAAAAAGTTACTCAAAAAGTTAAAAAGTCATTACTATTCACCAAAAGTCAACAATTACGGCTGCACAATTCCCAATTCTAATTTTCCCCTACAAACTAATTTTTACAATTTTTTATTACACATTTTTCCATAAAAAGTCAAAAAGTTAACCCAAACATTCATATTTTCAACCTCAACTTTTTAGTCTAAAAAGACAAAAAGTGCACTTATTTAGTCTTCCCAAACTTGGCCTAAATAGATTTGAACTAAATACTTTAGGGACATAATAAATTCAATCGATAGTTTAGAGACTAAATAGACTTTGATTTATATATTTTAGGGACTGAATAAACTTAATCAATAGTTCAAGGATAAAGTAGACAATTTGGTGATAGTTTAAGGGTATAAAGTGTAATAAACCCTTTTAAAATTAACAAAAAGATTTTTCCAGTCTCTAGTTAGATAGCAAAAGTAGAATAAAACTGAAGAAACTTAAATCGTGTTTCATACCCAACAGATGGTTTCAAGGAAGCTTCACAAAGACTCGCCGTATGAGTTTGTGTGCATGTTTGTGCATTTATTGCCAATTGAGCATTTAAAAGAATGGAAGTAAAAAAGAAAGCAACTGAGCAAGAGAAAGAAAGAGAATTAATGCAAGTTCATCAAAATGTCAATATTTGACACAATGTGATATCTAAGTCTCTTTTTAGAAATCACACAACATTTATAATGAGTTCTGCCACCACACAAGCAAAGAAGGCACAAAATAGACTCTCTTCCCTATAAGATTGGTTATATGCTCAATAGCGTCAAACAAATAATCTTACAGTAAGGTACAGGTTCTCATCTGTTACGGCAGTACCTAATTTCTTGGCTTAGTAATATATATTTCTCATGAACCAAAACAAAGATCAGCTGACTATTTTGTCTTGAATTTAATTGGTTACTGACCAATAAAATTCAAGACAATAAAGAGCCCATGTTTGTTACTAAAGTGTACAGCAAGCCAACTATGTCAAACCCGTAAAACGAAATTTGAGTTCAAACAACATTGCCATCACCACAATTGCCATGATAGTTTGTGTTTTGAAATTGATTCCATTGTTAGTCGGTATTGGTGGGGGCAGCATGAAAATAAGAAGAGAATCCACAGGAAAAGTAGGAATTTTCTTTGTTTACCAAAGCGGGGCGGTGGTAAGGGGTTCCGAAGTTTGAAAGCATTCAATGTGGCAATGTTAGCCAAACAGGGGTGGTGACTTATTCAGAACCCAGATTCACTCCTGGGGAGAATTTTGAAAGCTAAATATTTTCCACATTCTACTTTCTTGCATGCGGTTATGGGTTAAATCCTTCATACACATGGAGAAGTATTTTGCATGCAAGACCTTTGCTTAATTCTGGGCTTCATTGGAGAGTGGGAATGGCAATCAACAATAATTGGCGATCAAAATGGCTTCATACCGAATTACAAATCGAATTGAATCGTGAATCATAAAGATTTGTCACTTTTTCTATATTACTTAGAAAAATATATCTACACTCTTAGATGTTAAATATATCTTATAAATATGAAATATTTAGACTTAAATCAATGAAAACGTTGTTTTTAATGATGGTCACGCAGTTTAATAGTTAAGAAGTTAACAAAAATTTCTATATAAGATCACCATCTTACCTTTTCCATTTTTTTGATATTTCTTATCAATCATTCTTAATAAAAATAGTAAACAAAAACAAACTCTCAATTTCCAAAGTAACAATAATTTAACAATATTGATATTTAGACAATAAGTATACATATTTTTCCAAGTAACAATGACCAAATAATAGAATTATTTAAGATCTTTTATTCAACTATATTTTATTTAATAAAATAGCAATAGATAATTCATGGTGTAAGTTAATTTAATCGTAAAGCAAATATATTATGATTTTTGAGGGGAAAAAATGAGAAGAAAAGTTAAAAACATGTTGGGTCTAACTTTATCTGATTGAATCCTATTAAAAACTCCATGATCACTAAAATGACAACAAATCATGTATATGTATTGGTTATTTTGGTATTAAATGCTAGTAAAAGTTGTATTATGTCATTTTCACTATAAAGATGGAGAAAAAAATAGTTGCAAATATGTCGAACATGATAGTTTCAAGAATTGCATAAATCGTAAATAGTGAATCGATTGTGAATCATACAATTCACTATAGATTCACTTCCAAAATAGATTCACCCATAAATTCATATCGATTTTGCAAAAATTGCGAATCGACTCGCGAATCGTAAGATTTTGATAACAGATGGTGACAGATGCTAGGTGTAATGGTTGTTTGGGCCACAAAAGATGGGAGATAACAAAATTTTTGCAAAGGTGTTCAACAAAATGGAAGGTCATGGCAAAACTACTAGAACCTTATTTGGAATTCAAGAATTAAATGGAAGCTTCCCATTTAAAAATGAAAACATGAGTAAGAAGTAGTTATCAAATCGGGATTCGAATCATGAATCAAAATGGCCTCGTACCGAATCACGAATCGAATCGTGAATTGTAAAGATTCGGTCACTTTTTCTAAATTATTTAAAAAAATATATTTACACACTTAGATGTTAAATATTTCTTATGAATATGAAATATTTAGACTTAAATCAATAAAAAATTGTTTTGAATGATGATCATGTAATTTAATAGGTAAGAAGTTAACAAAGATATCTATCTAAGATCATCATCTTACCTTTCTCTTTTTTAGATATTTCTTATCAACGATTCTTGATAAAGACAACAAACAAAGATAAACTCTCCATTTCCAAAGTAACAATAATTTGACAATGATACTAATATTTGGATAATATAGGGTGGTTTGGAATGTTCTAAATAAGTGCACTTTTTGACTCTTTATAAATAAAAAAAAATGTGTAGAAAAGTAGAAAAAGTTGGTAAAAAAGTAAAGAGAAGATATTAATAGATGTTGATTGATGTGACCCAAATAAGTGTATGTATGCAAAAAAGTGCACTTTTTTAGTACATGCCAAACACCTACTAAGTATACATACTTTTTTCAAGTAACAATGACCAAATATTAAGAAAATATTATTTAGGATCTTTTATTTTGAAGTCTAAAATACTTTAAAATGTATAACTAACCTCATCCATGTACTATGCAACTATATTTAATTTAATAAAATAGCGATAGATATTTTATTTGGACAATAAGTATACATACTTTTTCCAAGTAACAATGACCAAATATTAAGAAAGTATTGTTTAGGATATTTTATTTTGAAGTCTAAAACACTTTAAAATGTATAATTAACCTCAACCATGTAATATGCAACTATATTTAATTTAATAAATAGCGATAGATAATTCATGGTATAAGTTACTTTAATCTTAAACATCTTTAGAAGATATATTATGGTTATTTAAAGGGAAAAATAAGAATAAAGGTTAAAAGCATATTGGGTCTAACTGAATCTTATTGAATCCTATTAAAAACTCTATGATCACTTAAATAACAACAAATCATGTACATATATTGGTTATTTTGGTACTAAACGCTATTAAAAGTTATATTATGTTATTTTCAATAAAAAGATAGAGAAAGAAAAAGTAAAACAATGTCAAACTCGATAGTTTCAAAACTTGCATGAATTGTAAAAAGTGAATTGAATCGTGAATCAATTGTAAACTGTGCAATTCACTATAGATTCACTTCCAAAATAGATTCACCCATAAATTTGTATCGATTTTGCAAAAATGCAAATCGAATTGTGAATCGAATCCCGAATCGTAAAGTATGAAGTCCTCTACAACCATGAAGTACTCCAACAGCAAAATTGATCAGGCAGAACCAACAATTAAGAAACTATGGCACCAGTTACCACTCAAGATCAGCTTTAGTGGACTGGACACAAAATTGGTTTAGCAAAATTATCTAGGTAAGCAACACAACAATGCTCGACAGAAGAAATGGAAACATGAGATCCAAATGTTAATAGCAAAAACACACATAAAAACAAATATATGGATACTAGATCATTAAAACCAAACAATAAAATATAATAATTAGATCGTTACTTACTACTCAAAAATAAATACATGTTGCACTCACCAAAATGGTGCCAGGAGGGCGACACAGCACTAGCACGGATGAGATCAGATGGATCATTCAGAGACATGAAAATCTTCAGCGACATATCCCTTTGAAGCCATTGCAAGAAATCACAACGAGCTTCCATCTATACTGACCTCCAAAAATACAATTAAAACAAAGCAAACTTTTCAAACCTCCAAACCTGATTTATCGTTGAGCATAACTAGAAACAAATAACAGAAAATCCAGGCAAAAATGCACATATTCGAAGAAAACCCATATATAGACGCAATCAGAATTTGATGAGCCTGATCACACTGTTATCATGCGCATCATTGAAGCGGACATAAATTATAAATTCCCCATGAAACCAGTACAACTGTAGAAAAAATTAAAACCCTATGCATATACATAAAGCAAGTGATCAAAACAAACATCGTACAATGTTCAAACCAATTTTAAAATTTTAAATATATATACACAAGATTACAAGGTGTGCATATCTATCTGGGAGTTGATTCAATAAATTGAATAAAACCCACTGCCCAGTGTACAAGGCTCCTATTTCAGCAGGTAAGGAATTGAATATAAAGTCCTCTCTCTCTCTCTCTCTCTCTCTCTCTCTCACACACACACACACAAAACTCAGATTTTATAGCATGAGCATTTTCACAAACAGCAATAGAAGATAAGAAGAATTGACTTGTAATCGAATTCCAATGACAAAATGCAGATAATTTGAACAAACTTAATTGAACAGAAGGAACAAAATTCAACATTGAATCAATTAAACACATGTATCACAAAAAACGAATTACTACATTTTCAGAAACCCAAAACAAACAAACCAAAAGAATTGAAAAAATGAACAGAGAGAGATGGTAAGCAAAAAGGTAAAAGACTTTTCTTTTACCTACGTTGCTGAACAAAGGTGGGCCTGAAACGACGCGCCGAACAAAACCCTAGAGAGAAAGAGAGATGGATCTGTTCGCATAAATTGGGAGGAAAAGTACAACGTTGTGCGAAGCTTTCCTTCTTCTGAATGATTATGGAATGGAATATGGATTTAAATTTTTATTTTTTTTTTTTTTTTTTTTTTTTTAAAAAGGGGAAAATTTTTTTTTAAAAATTTTTTTTTTTTTTTTTTTTTTTTAAATACAAGACTTCATTGTTAAACTGAAAAGGGCAGTCTATATACAATTACACTATTATATAGTTGGCTTAAATTTTAGTCCTGTTTAAGGGTAAAAAATTTTGTTTGGATTAAGTTTTTTTTATTTTTTTTATTTTTATAAGAAAAAAAATAAAACAATTATTATTTAAATATAACATTTTATTTTATTATTTTTTTAATTTATTTTTATCTTTTTATGACTATTTTAACCAAAAAAACTATCCAACCAATATGCCAAATGAGGGCAAGGGCTCCTTGGTGACAAAAAACAAGGTCTCTGTTTTGTTTTGTTTTTTAAAATAGTTTTAAATTTTGAGTTGTATTTTGAAAGATAAATTCTTGAAAAGAGTTTTGAAAATTAAAATTTTATTTGGTTAGGAGTTTTGAAAATAATTTTGAGATTTTTTTTTTTAGTTGAATAAATAGGTGTAAAATTTGATTGATTGATGCGTAGAATAAGGGAGGAGAGAGGGGGGGAAATGATTGATTAATTTATTAATAAAAAAAAAAAAGAGAAAAAAATAATAATTTTAAAAAGAGTTTTAAAAATTGATAAATCAAACATGTTTTTTAATTTTTTGATCTAAATGATAATTTAAAAACTAAACTAAACGGAATCAACAATTTTTTATTCTAAGGCTTTGTTTGGGAATTATGGATTTTAGTCCAAAAAAAATCACTGTAAATTATCACATAAAAATTAAAAAATTAATTAAAATAATCTATTTCTAAACGAGCTTAAATTGAATAGAATATTTATTTAATTTTATATGAATATTTCCATCAAATTTTTATCAAAATATTTTTAAAATTTATTTTTTTATTTTAAATTTCACTTTTCATCAAATTTAATAAATAAAAAAAACTCTCTCCAATATTTAATTTTTTTTATTTTCATTAAATATAATATTAATGAAAGATTTGATAAGTTCATAATTTTATTTTATTTTTTTAAATGACTCCCCTATAAAATAATTGGAGCTGATTTTTTAAATTATTTTTTATTAAATTTAATGGAAAAAATATTCATGTATTTAATTAAATCTGCTGACGTAAGATTAGAATCCATTGACCACTTTTTCAGGAAAAATTATTCATTGATCTAGGGGTGTCACATGGTCATACTCCCTCACCAATCACAATTTATTATATTTCTCATGTTCTCTAATCACAAAAATTCGTGGACCCTATCACCTCTACCAATCACAATACTATTGGGACATCACTTAATGGTACCCCAAAACCAACCAATAACTTTTCTTTTTCTCGAGTGAGAGAGATTATTTTGTGGTCTTCGAGCATTATTTTATAATATTTATTGCTTAATATTTGTTAAGTTTTTTTTTAAATATAAGTTATGACACTGTAAACTTATCCTAAAATAATTTTTTCTAAATAAAAAATTATATAATACACAAACTTCGAAATTTTTTTAAAATGTGTATCATGCGTACGGTTAAAACTTTTGTGACTTATTGAGATACTAACAATTATGACTTAATTATAATTCGTTAACATGTTAGTTATGGCCATTGATTAAAACTTCTTGTAATGAACTATTGTAATTTTTTATTTGGGTTTATTACACTTTATACCCTTACATTATCATCAAATTATCTGCTTGGTCTTTTAACTATTGATTGAGTCTATTAAGTCCCTAAAGTATATAAATTAAAATCAATTAGTCTCTTAACTATCGTTTGAATCTATTAAGTCTCTAAAGTATTTAATTCAAATCTATTTAATCCCTGAAAAGAGTGCAAAAATATAATATAAGCTCATAAATATTATAAATTAGTAAAAGAATCTATTTAGTTAAAATTTTATTTCAAAAAAACCTTCAACTTTTCATCTTTGAAAAGTGGACATCAATTCTTTTGGTGAATTTCTTTTATAAAGGTAAGGATAATTATCAATACTATTTTGTTTACTTATCTTCTACAATGATTGCGTACTTGTCTTTATCTAGTATTATATGTTAGATTTCATTAATAACTTATAATTTATTATTTTTAAGTTTTTCACTAAGTTTTTTTTTTTATAACTGAATTAATGTATTATTTTTGTTCTATTATTATTTGTAGTGAAGTGTTATTATTTAAATTATCTAATTCTATTTCTTAAGTATATCTAATATTCGTACAATTTTATTGGAAAGACAGAGAAATCAAACTCTTATATCAATTTAAACACACAATAAAATAAAACACGCTTTAAAGACAAAATAAATTTTTTAAAATTTTTTGTAATAAAATCTTATTTAGGTAGGGCTTTTTACTAATTTATAATACTTACAGATATATATTTTCTTTTTCTAATCCTTTCAGGGATTAAATATGTTTGAAATTATAGTTTAGAAACTAAATAGACTTTGATTTATATGCTTTAGGCACTGACTCAATCAATAATTTAAGAATAGAAAGTGTAATAAACCCTTTTTGTTTTGATTATTCTTCAAGTAGTTTTTGGGGTTTTGATCTTGTGATCTTTCTAGATATAATGCAAATGATTTAATTAATATTTTGTGACATTAACAATACAAAATATCATAACTTATCAATGATCCTTTTAAAAATATGTATGGTAAAATGACCCAAAATAATAATATTTAAAGAAAATGATTCATTATACGCATTGCATTCAAGAATATGCGATTTGTTACCATTATAAAATAGTTTAAATTTGTAGGTATTGTTTGATAAAAAAAAAATTATTAATATTTAAAGAAAATATTAAATTACACTGGGTATAGATTGTCTTCAGATCTAAATTGAAAGGTTGTCCTTGTCCATGGGCCTACTATAGGTCTCATTTTAATGATTCAGATTATTCATTTTGTAAAAAAATTTATGTATATTATCAATAAAAAAAAATAAGTCGATATGATAATCGTATCATATCCATTTTATCTCATTTGTCACAAAAATAATAGATATTTTATTTTCAATAATACTTGTCGTCTATTTTTTTTTAAGACAAATGTAATAAATTGAATAAATTATGATTATCGAATTAATCTAATTTTGTGTGTGCATATATTTACCTGAAGAGTCTTACAAAATGAATACTTTTGATCATTAAAATAAGACTCATGATAATTCAACATATCCAAATAACACTCTCCAATCCAGATCTTAGACTGAAGGAAGTCCAACCCAATTACTACACCCATTGTTGTCAAGAATGTGTGATTTGTTACCATTATATAATAGTTTTAATTTTTAGGGATTGTTTGATAGTAACAATTTGTCTTCTATTTTTTATCTTTTAATTTGCAGGAAATCTGCACCACTTTGACTATTGACTCTATGTGAAAAGTCACCAATATATAATAGTTTCAATTTTTTGGGATTGTTTGATAGTAACAATTTATCTTCTGTTTTTGTCCTTTTCTTTAATTTTCAGGATATGTGCACCACTTTATAAATGAAAAGTTACCAATACATATAGTTTTAATTTGTAGGGATTGTTTGATAGTAACAATTTGTCTTATAATTTTGTTTTTATCTTTTAATTTCCCGGGTATCTGCACCACTTTGACTATGATTCTAAATGAAAAATACAAATCATAGTCTCAGAAATAAGAGTTTGAATGCATAAACTCTGTCAATAGTTAAATCTCTGTGAAAGAAAAATAAATTCAGTACAATAGTGACTTCTTACTTGAACAAAGGCCATATAGTCCATTCTACACAAGTGGTCTCCTGACAAAATAAACACATCCTCTCTCTTTACTTCTTGCATCCTACAGACAATGTCACACTTTTGTAAAAGGTCTCCTATGGTAACCACTTGTTTTTATCTATGAATTTTTTTTTTATATATAACTATTAAATATGTATATATTTATTTTTAATAAAACAAAAACATTATTGGTATGTTTGTAAAACATGTTTTCAAAACAAATAAAAGAAGTAGCCAATTGAAGGTGATGGCTTAAAGTGATTGTCAACAGTCGGAGATTGTGTCCAAGTTGTAATAGGAGATTGTTGTTAGTTCTTAATGTTGATGTCAGGTAGTTGATTGTGGTTGGATGTTGTTGTTGAGCACATGAGGCGGTGGCTAAAGGTGGTTGCAGATGGTTGAGGGTTGTGTTAACCATTGAAAAATGGTGGTCAAGGGTGGTTGAGGATGGTCGACGACATTGATCGAATGTTGAAAGTAGTGGCTGAAGGTGGTGATCGAAGATGGTTGTTGGGTGAGGTTACTAACAATGATGCCCAATGGTGATTATGAGTTGTAGGTGGTAACCGAAAAAGGTGGAAGAGGAAGGAAATAATTAAAATATTTTTATAAACAAGTAAAACTTGTTTTTGTTTTACCCAAAAAGTTAGTGAATTTTGTAAAGTATTTACAATTTTTTGGAAACAAAAATATATTAAACTAGTTTTTGTTTATATTTCCAAAAAAAAAAAAAAAAACTGTAATGTTTAGGGCTTAGGTATGTTATTTTTGTTTTCAAAACAAATGTTGAATTTGATTAAAAACAATTTGAAATTAAAAGTATAGGCGTTTAAATTTATTTAAAAAATAAATTTTAATTTTATCCTCTGTTCCTTCCTGCCCATTGGCTAAACACCACCTTTCGAAAACCTTCACCTAGCCTCTATCATTCCATTGAACTTTCACTAGATCTGACGATCAAATGGTCAACGTTCCACAATAATTAAAAAAAAACTCTTCGAGCACCTCATAAATTCTAACGACACTTCGAAAAACTCCTCGAGCACCTCATAAATTCTAATGACACTTCAACTACCATCTCCAGTTCAAGGCTGGCCCTGGGCTAAGCAAGTAAGGCGTATGCCTTGAGCTCTCAAATTTTGGCCTAAAATAGGGTCTCCCAAATTTGTTAGTTGTATATTATATTAAAAGTTCAAATAAATTATATTTTTTTTATTGCCTG